GGTCTCCAGTCTGTGCACTTCCCACTCTCTCCATCACCAACACCCTCATCCGAGCCCTGAGGGCTCCTGCACATGGCCGCCTTTTGTCCTAGCCACTGGTCTGTTCTTACTGCGAACACTCCTTGTTGGGATTGCATACCTCTGCCAGGCTGCTAGGCTTGGGCCCTGCCCACTTCTAGATGCTTCTCACCCACTTCTTCCCTCGGCCCTCTCTGACATTAGTGGTCTGCCTACTCTTGAGCTGGCCTAGCTCTTTCCCCTCTCCTGGCCTCCACCACACACTATTCTATCTGCCTGGAATGTTCTTCCTCCCACTCTTTGAAATCCTGGCTCCTTATCCTTCAGGCCTCAGCTGACATGCACTTCCCCAAAGAGGCCTCTGCTGGCCCCTCATCTAAATGAGGCCCCTGTCATTCATGCCCATGCCACCCGGTCCATCTCTTCCCCCACAGCACCTGTCATTGTGTAATCTTGTGGTTCTTTGTGTGTTCATTCAGTCCTCGCCTCCCTCTCCAGACTGTTAGCTCTGTGAAGACAGGTTCCTTGTCTGCTATATTTCTAGTAGCCACATGGCGTCCAGCCAGAGCACTCAGCAGAGTAAATATTTGTAAACTGAGTGGACAAGGGGGTGCCTGGCCCTTGGCCCAGAACCCCACAGACTCCCTTCCCTGCAGATTGGGCTCCTGACCACCATGGCCATCCTTCTGCATGAGATCCCCCACGAGGTGTGTGCCAGAGGGTTTCCATGGCAGCAGTGTGGGTGTGGGACTTCGGAGAGGGATTTGGGGTGGGAAGCCCAGAAGCAGCAGGCTTGGGGACGAGGCTTTGGAGGCCTGGAGCTGCTCGGCCCACCAGGCTGCGGCCACCATCTCAGCTGTGCTCCAGCCTCCGGGTGGGGGTGGGGGTGAATGGGGTCCCAGCCTCGGCGGTGCGGCCTGGGGGGCCCAGCAGCAGGGCCAGTGCAGGGGGCTCGGTGTGCAAGTCCGTAGCCGTCCCCTGGGGACCAGAGTGATCATCTGGACCTCCCCTCAGGTGGGCGACTTTGCCATCCTGCTCCGGGCCGGCTTTGACCGATGGAGCGCAGCCAAGCTGCAGCTCTCGACGGCGCTGGGGGGCCTGCTGGGCGCCTGCTTCGCCATCTGTACGCAGTCCCCCAAGGGAGTAGGTACGGGCGTGGTGGGTGGTGGTGGTCCGCGGAGGGGCCCCAGCCAGAGGGCACAGCTGCCCTGGCCCGTGTCCCGGCCAGGATCTGCCCCAAGTGTCCCCTGTGGGAGCGGGTGCTGCACATGGCTCGCCTGGGCCCCCAGCCGGTCGGGACTTCTGCTCCCACTGCAGAGGAGACCGTGGCCTGGATCCTGCCCTTCACCTCTGGCGGCTTCCTCTACATCGCCCTGGTGAACGTGCTGCCCGACCTCCTGGAGGAAGATGACCCATGGTGAGTGCCCGTCACCATCGCCCCCGGGGGGGTGGGCTTCTGGGCTCTGGCCCGCCCTCAGCGCCTCCCTGAGCCCGGCCCCTCCCCCCACAGGCACTCCCTGCAGCAAGTCCTACTGCTCTGCACAGGCATCGTGGTGATGGTGCTCTTCTCGCTCTTTGCGGGGTGACCGCCCCTGACGGCCCCCCCACCGCCCCCCAGCAATAAGAGACTCGGATTCAGTCTGTGACCGTGTGTGAGGCACAGGGCGAGTGCCTGAGAGCGCCCCTCTGACCAGATTAGAGGACGGGGTGTGTGTGTGTGTGTGTGTGTGTGTGCACGCACGTGTGTGTGTGTGTGTGCGCGCACAGAGGTACGCGTGAGACCGACACTGTGATCGTGCGCTGGGCCCAGGGCCTGATGCCCGCACCCAGCCACGCTGTGGTCTTGTCTCCTTACCCCCGCCATCCGGCACTTCCCGCGGCGAGCACTGAGGAATAGCAGCCCTGCTCCCAAGCGGAGGCCTCTCCCACCAAGCACACAGGGGGAGTGAGAAGAGCCCCAGGAGCCCAGGGCTTCGGGGAGCCCAAAGCTGTCTCCCTCTGGGGCCTTGGGGTTCCTGGCCTTCTGCTCAGGCACCAAGCCCCGGGCAGCCTGAGCGCTGAGGCTGGGGAGCCTTCTCTGCTGTGTCCGTTGTCCTGGCCCTTCCTTTGTCAGTTCTAAGGCCAAAGAAAGGAGAGGCAGGTGCTCGCGTAGCCCCTCGCCACCGCACTCAGCACTGACAGTCCCACCCAGCCCGGGATGGAGCCGGGGGTGCTTCCCAAGACCTTCTCCTCGTGGCTGCCAGCCCTGGGCCAGCTCCTGTGCCCCCAGGAAATGCTCCCTGGCAGCGCCTGCAGCTTTTGCCACCTCCCGCTGCCAAGCAGCAGCCTGCAGGGCGGTGAGCGGCCCTGGGCCAGAGAGGCCTGCTGGTCCAGCTCAGGGACGCTCACGCCGGTCCAGGCGGAGATACCCTGGAGGCAGGAACAGTGGGCTGTGGCCGCCCCTCCCTGCCCAGGCCCTTTTTCCTGTCCCACCGTGGCCGAGGGTAGGTTGGGGGGTGGTGAGGGCTCCGCCTTGTCGGCATGCAGGAATGTGCTCTGGGAGAACGCTGAAGCCCTAATCCCCGGCTATTTCCCTTGGCGGACACCCAGGCACTGAGCTGGCCCGCTCCACAGCCAGGCTCAGCCCTGCTGCTCGACCACGGACGTTCTGAGAAGCGGCCGCCAAGAGGGTCTGAATGGGTTTACAGCAGTTGTGCTGTGGTTCCGTTTCTTTCTGTAAATAACTATAGATAAGATATGAATAAATATTATATACAAACTGGCTGCCTCTCTCCTGTACACCACAGTCCATGGTCAAGCCGGGCTTTCCTGGACGCCCCTTGCTCCAGCCAGGCTGGTGGCTTTGTGCCCCCCCCGCCCCAGGTCAGCGGGCCACCCTGCCCACCTCGGCATCCCCAGCCCCGCTCCAGCTCTTCTGCTTCGTGCCCCTCTCTGAACGGTTACCCTCGCAGCGTTTCTCAGGACAGGGCACAGCCGTTCACGCTCTGCCCGGCCTGTTGGCTCTGGAGCCCAAAGCCGCAAGCCTGGCACCGCGCCGCTGTAGCCGACAGCACCCCCAGGGTGGCTGTCCTCGTTTTATGGACCTAAGAGCCAGGGGCTTCTCCCCAGCCTGTCCCCTGAGGAAACGGAGGAAGGGAGCTCCATCCACAGTCATCTCCAGCTTTGCTTCAGTAAAATTAGAAAGATCATGAGGTCCTTCACGGATTCTCACTTCCTCTGAGTGTAAAGGCAGCCTCAGGCGCCGGGGGGTGCTGCTTCCTCACAGCGCACGCCCGGGAAGGCAGGAAGGGGAGAGCGGAGTCCCACTGTGCTCCCCGAGCCATGCGGGTCGGCTTTCAGGAGCCCCTGGCTGAGAACTGCCCCGTCTGTCCGTCCTGGAGGCTGCTCCGGGCTGAAGCCCCAGGCAGCGGCATCCTCAGCGGGGAGTGCCTGGCTCTGACCTGGTGGCTTGTCCGCAGAAAGGGAGCCGCCCCAGCCGGCTGTGACAGTCCAGGGCCCGGGGAAGGAAGGAATCCGGGACTGTCCCCCCCCCCCGCCCCCACCCTCTCCTTGGCGGCACTGGGGCTCCCACCCACGTTGAGCCCTTCCAGGTGACAGGTACACGTGCAATCACAGGACTCAGCCTGCCCGGGGGAGGCAGTGAGGCCCCCGTTCACGAATGAGGAAGTTGGGGAAGTGTGGGTTCACTGCTGTGCCATGGTCAGGAGGTGAATGCCCTGACTGGTCAGGAGAGGGACCAGAGAATGCAGAAGCAATGGCGAGCAGAGTCTGTCCCTGGCCGAGTCTGTCCCCGAACAGGGGACAGTAACCACAAGCCCTCGGAGGCTTTACTGGGAGCGCCTTGGGCAAGGGGTGGAAGTCAATGGGACTGCCAAGGGGATCACCCCTGCGAGCACTGGCACACTCTAGAAGGCAGCCTGGAGGCGACGGGAGTCCAGCGTTGGGAAGCTAGCCAGGAGCCGAGCCCTCCAGATGAGCTGGCTCTGTCAGTAGCTCACTGTGGGCCCGTCCAATCAGGGAGAGGGCGGAAAAGAGTGTGGAGGGGCTTTTGCTAGGGGGCAGGTAAGAGCTGACAGGATTCCGGAGACGCTCTTACTCTGGAAGGCATTCCGGGGCCCCCGAAAGCTGCTGCTAAGAGCACAGGGGAAAGCAGACGTGCTTTACTGTCCTGGGTTTAAATCCCAGCTATGCCACCTAAGAGCAATCCTGGCCCAGCTGCTCACACGCATCTAGGAAATGGGACTACCCCACTGGGGGCTACTGGAAGAACTAGATCCAGTTATGCACAAGATCCGCTGGGCACAGGGCCCAGAACAGGCCCTCAGTGAACCACACGAGGCCAGCTACAATGCAGGGGAGCTGGAAGGTTGGACGGACAGAGGACCAACGAGATCTTCGAGGAAACGGATAGGACGTGGGACCTGATGGGGAGCGGGGCTGACGGCGGAACTGGGGGGTGGGGGAGAACACACTGTGACCAAAGGTTAGGCCTAGAAGGGCTCTCAGTGCTCTTGCTCAAGGTTCATTTCTCAGCAGGAGGAAATGAGCCAAGAGAGCTAATGGGGACACGTGGAGAAACAGGAGGCTCAGGGGCCAGGAAACGGGAGGAATTTCAAGGAGCAGAGACACAGAGCCTGGCTTTACAGGGAAGCAAGGATGAGGGACCAAAATGCCAAAGGGGAAAGGCTGGCTTCTATTCAGGGCCTTGGTTCTGGAGCTGCAGGGCCCTGACTCTAAAGGGGAGGGGTGGGGCAGGGAGCAGGAAAGGGGGTGGGAGGGGCACGGTGGCGGATGGGGGGGCGGAAGACCCCAGGCAGCAGCCGTAGCACGCACCCATCCTTCCCGGAGGGCCTCGCCTGACGACTGCTTTGAGGCCCACAGTGGTTTCAGGGGTTCCAGGCAGCAGCACGTGGGGAGGGAGCCTCCTGCAGAGGCCCCACTCTTCCTTCCAGCCAAGCCCCGGGAAAGGTGCAACAGACAGGTGGCAGGGACCTGCAACCATCTTTTATTATGGATTTTAACCAGCACCAGACCAGGGAGCAGGTGTGGCGGGCAACCTCCTAGGCGTAGTACTGCAGGTTGGCTTTCTTCTTGGCCTGCACCTCCAGGATGCCCTCCATGTAGTCCTCGTGCGTGAGTTCCGTGGCACCCCTGCGCAGTGCGATCATGCCCTGCACCCAGGACAGACAGGCTCTAGGGTGCCTTCCCGCACCCCTGGCCCGGCTCCTAGAGGCCTCGGCCTTCTGAGCCTCTCCCCCGCCCAGCAGTCTCCACCAGCCAAACGCCCCATCCTGTTTAGGGAAGGGGGGCAAGAAGGCATGAAGTAACCCACTCCCCTACGCCACCACTCACCGCCTCCACACACACGGCCTTGCACTGGGCCCCGTTGAAGTCATCCGTACAGCGGGCCAGCTCCTCGTAGTTCACATCGGGACTGGGGGGCCGGGGGGAAAGGGGGACAGACACCACAGGACTCAGTTACTTATGGTTATAGGGAGGGGCGGGAGAGGATATCTTCCCATACTCCCTCCCCATCAGGCAGCGAGGTCCACTCGTCCTGTGACGTCGGCAAATCCCTCCCTTCCCCGCTGTGCCTGTTCTCTTCTCAGTATGAGTTACAGAACAAAGAGCAGGTAAGTCAAAGCAGAGAACAGGCTATTTCTGTGTCTTTTGAGCTCTAGCCTTCTAGAAATCTGCACCTGTGATTCCAGGGACTGATTCAGCCTGGGGCAGGGGAGCAAGAGGATGGCTGTCTCCCTGAGGAAGTCCTGCATCAGCACAGTGCTGCCTTGGTCTCTTGCGCCGAGCCCTTCCCCAGACGCGCCACAACCCCATGAGGTCAGTGCCATTACCCCCAAGCACCAGACAAGGAAACTCAGGCTTCGATGGGTAATACCACCTGCTGGAGATCACACAGATCTGAATCCAAGTCCACCTGGCCCCTGGCTGGATTCCCCAGAGCCATGCTGGGGGAGTCAAGGAAACTGAGGGCCTCCAGCCTGTGCACCTTCAGACCACAGGGGAGGAAGAGGCAGGGCGATTCTAAGGAGCAGAGCACCCAGAATCAGGGCCTGGACCCAAGCAAGATTCTATCTCAGGCTTGGGGGAGAAACGGAGGCTGGCATGTGGAAGAGTTCTGTGTGAACAGGGAGGGGAGGAGGAGTGGGCGGAGACCTGGGGACACTCAGTACGAGAAAGACAACAGAGATGGCTCTGCTGCTGCCCCTTCAGATCTCAGCGCCTTGCTCATGTCCTTGCTCACCTGACGTTCATCTTGCGGGAGTGGATCTGCATGATTCTGGCCCGGGCCTCCTCGTTGGGCATGGGGAATTCAATCTTCCGGTCCAGACGGCCTGAGCGGAGCAGTGCGGGGTCCAGGATGTCCACCCTGTTGGTGGCTGCAATCACCTGAGCAAGGGGAGAAGCAGCAACGTGAACTGAGGAAGATGGGGCTCCCAGACAGACAACAGTCAAGGCCATGCCAAGCAGAGAGGCAGAGAGGCAGCCCAGGGTCCACATCAAACAACGGTGTTAAAGACAATCTCAATTCTAATTCTAGCTGCACTAGCTGGGTGACCGAGAAGGTGCCCTGCCCTCTAAGCTCCATTTTCTTCATCTGTGATGACAATACTCACCTTTACTTGGGTGTTGGGCTGGAACCCATCCAGTTGGTTCAGAAGCTCCAACATTGTCCTCTGCACCTCCCGGTCTCCGGCCTTCTCACTGTCAAAGCTGGGGCACACAAGAGGCCCGACACACTGATGAGGCCACAACTTGGGCAGAGCCTTCCCCTCCTCCAGCCACCAGAAATCTAACCCAACTATCCAGGGCAGGGAAAGGTCACGCTCAACTTGCGGCCCCCAGCCCAGGACTGACACAGAACAGGTGTCAGAGACTGGAGAGGCTCCTGGTATCAGCCAGGCTGAGGATAAAACAGTGAGCAAAACCAACCACTGCCTGGGCTATCCCCCAATGAATGTGCCACTGCAAACTGAGCTAAAGCTTAGAAATATGGGATCCAGACTTGGAGTGTAAAGGGGAGCCCAAACAGGCATCCCTGAGGAAGTATCTCTCACGGTGAGAACACACAGGCTAGGCAACCAACCACTAAAAAACAGGAAAAGTATATTCTAGAAAAGGAACAGGTGTAAACTCTCTCCCACCAGGGCCAGATGGACTTCGATCATAGAGCGGACCTATAAACCAAAGGGATGTTGGGGCATCTGGGTAGCACAGTCGGTTAACCGTTCTACTCTTGGTTTCAGCTCAGGTCATAATCTCAGGGTCGTGAGGTCAAGTCCCGCCTCCTGCTCTGCACTCAGGGGTGGAGTCTGCTTGGGATTCTTTCCCTCTTCCTCTCCTTCCCCCTCTGCCCCTCCCCCACCTCAAGTGCATGTGCTCAATTGCTCTCTCAAATAAATGGCCTTAATAAATAAATAAAAATCTTTAAAAAATTAACTAAATGGATGCTGGGAAGAGGTGGGGGCGGGGACAGGTCCAGGATGAAGTGGAGGGGAACAGGGAAAGCCACACAGCAGACCAGGCAGGCCATGGTTAAGTCCAGCATTTATCCCAAGGAGCAACAGGGGCCCACAAAGGGTTTCAAGTAGGATGTCTGTGTGAGGGAGTGTGGGTGTATGTGAGGGAAGCAAGCAGGTATGAAAGGAACATGCAGGTAGCCGTGAGGAGAATGGATGGTCAGGGGAAAAAAGAAGCAAGGAAGCTAGTTCGAACGGAATTCAGGACGTAGAACCACAAGAGTAGAGTTGCCACTGTTTCAGGGGAAGGAGGGGACAGGGTGGGAAATAGTTGGAATTTAAAACAATCTCCTTGGTGGCACTCAGCACCACCCCCCTCTTTTTTTAGGATTTTATGTATTTGACAGAGAGAGACAGCGAGAGAGGGAACACAAGCGGGGAGAGTGGCAGAGGGAGAAGTAGGCTCCCTGCTGAGCAGGGAGTCCGACGTGGGGCTCGATCCCAGGACCCTGGGACCATGACCTGAGCCAAAGGCAGACGCTAAACGACTGAGCCACCCACGCACCCCCACTCAGCAACCTCTTACCGCTTAGTGCCAATGGCATCCAGCTCATCAATGAAGATAATGGATGGAGCTTTCTCCTTGGCCAGAGCAAAGGCATCCCGGACCAGCTTGGCACCATCCCCAATGAACATCTGCACCAGCTGGGGGCCAGCCAGCTTCAGGAAGGTAGCCTGTTGAAGGGGCACGGTGACAAGAGTCAGGCCAAAGGCACCAAGAGAGGTCCCTCTGAGCCTGCTTGGCAGAGCTTTAGCTTCTATCCATTTCTTCCTCATTCCCTTCCAAAGCACTCACCTTGGTTTGTGCGGCACAGGCCCGGGCCAGCAGGGTCTTCCCCGTACCTGGGGGGCCATACATCAACACTCCTTTTGGAGGCTGGATCCCCAAGTTCTCAAACTTCTCCTTGTGGTTCATTGGCAGGACAATGGCCTCCACCAGCTGCCAGGAAGAAGTCCTGGGTGAGGAGAGTGAAGCCTGGAGGGATCCTACCGCTTGACACTTAATGACTTCAACCCCATCCCGCAAACCTCCTAACGCCAATTCAGGGACATGGCCTCTCCTTCCCCTGCATCAGAAGGACACAGAATGCTCACTCCCACCAAGGCTGGCTACGGCCGCTCCAGGAACAGCAGGACATGGTAGAAAGGCACCAGGGTAAGAACCAGGAGCCTGAGTTCCAGTCCTGGCTCTGGTCCTAACCTTCTGTGACCCTCAAGACAAGTCATTTAGGGCGCCTGGGTGGCTCAGATGGTTAAGCGTCTGCCTTCGGCTCAGGTCATGATCCCAGGGTCCTGGGATCGAGTCCCGCATCGGGCTC